AAGCAACTGTGGAAGAAGGTTGAACTCTGCACTCTGTATGTAGTTCATCCCTGAACTGTACACTCTGCATGTAGCGTACGTCTGAACTCTGCACTCTGTGTGTAACTAACCCCTGAACTATGCACTCTGCGTGTAGTGTACATCTGAACTCTGCACTCTGTATGTAGCACACCCATGAACTCTGCACTCTGTACATTATTATTATTATACAGGATTTATATAGCACCAACAGTTTACGCAGCGCTTTACAAAATGAAGGTAGACATTACAGTTACAATAAAATTTGGTACAAAAGGAAACAGAGAGCCCTGCTTGTTAGAGATTATGTCACGTACCTGATGGGAGACTGAAATGATGAGGTCGGCCTCACTTGTGTCACTAGCCCTGACCCCGCTGGAGTTGGAACAGAGGGAGTCTAGGACCCAGGGGAACAAGAGTGCCAGTAGTTGTTGTTTGCAGCTCTTGCAGATAAAGACCTTGGAAGGCTGATGATCCTCTGATTTTGGCACAGTAGTTGTAGGCAGAGTAGGTTTTGCAGATTGCCAGGTGAGCACCAGAGCAAGGCAGGTAGTGAGGACAAGAGACAGGAGCAATGTCATGGAATAGCCAGGGTTGTCAACAGTCAGGCAGCACAGTACAGAATCAGAAGGAAAAGCCAAGGTCAGGAGCAGAGCCGAAGTCAGGAACCAGTATCAGGAGAGCAATCAGAGTCGGGTGAGGAACAAGCCGGTTCAGCAACAAAGGAATCACACAGGAACAAGCAGGACACGGGGGGAGCTGAAGACCAGTCAGCACTGAACATGAGCAGAGTCACTCCTTAACTAGGCTGTCTGGCGCCAATCTTCGCTGTGCCTGTGTGCGTGCATGTGCGCCATTGTGCATTCCTGCACGCATGCGCACAACCAGCAATTCTTCTGCGGGAATTCCTATGCGCATGCGCATCTCCGATCACGATTCTTCTTGCCGGAAGTCTCTTACAGATTACAATCTAGGAGAAGGGTTGAGTGATTCAAAAGGTAATAGCTGTGGCAGGAGGAGCTGATGGAGGAAACAAAAGGCAGTTTACTAGGTAGAAGCAGGATAGGCTTCTTTACCGAGAAAGGTTTTCAGGTTTCAGGGATCGTCTAAAGGTGGATAGATTAGGAAATAGCCAGACAGATTGGGGATTGTAGAAGCTCGGGAGAAGTCCTGGAGGCGAACATGGGAGGAGGTGACATGGGAACTAGAGAGCAGAAGGTCTTGGGAGGATCGAAGAGAGCGGTTTGGTAGATATTTTGAGACCAGGTTGGTGATGCAACTGGGGGCAGAGTTGTGGATGGCTTTGTAAGTTGTTGTTAGTATTTTGAATTTTATTTGTTGGGCGAGTGGAAACCAGTGGAGGGATTGGCAGAGAAGGGTAGCAGACACTGAACGGTTGGTAAGGTGGATGAGCCTGGCAGCAGTATTCATGATGGACTGGAGGGGGGATAGCCTATGTAAAGGTAAGCCAATGAGGAGGGAGTTGCAGTAGTCGATGCGAGAGATAACCAGGGAGTGAATTAGGAACTTTGTGGTATCATTGGTTAAAAAGGGGCGTATTCTGGAGATGTTGCGGAGGTTGAGGCGGCATGATTTGGACAGGGATTGGATGTAGGCCTGAAAGGATAGTTCAGAATCCAGGGTTACCCCTAGCACCCTGGCATGCGGGGATGGGTTGATAGTGGTGCTATTGATCCTGACCGAGAAATCAGGGGAAGAGGCAGTTTTGGATAGATTGAGTTTTAGGAAGTGGTGTGACATCCAGTCTGATTTGTCTGTTAGTAAATTGGTGATATGTGAGGAAACTGATGGGATGAGCTGAGGAGTAGAGAGATAGATTTGTGTGTCATCAGCATAGAAATGGTATTGGAAACCATGGGAAGCTATCAGCTGACCCAAGGAAGAAGTATAGATCGAGAATAAGAGAGGTCCAAGGACAGAACCTTGGGGGACCCCGACAGTAAGAGGAGAGGAGGAAGTAGAGTTGTAACACTGAAGTTGCGGTGAGATAGTTACTAATCAAACCAATGGAAAGTACAGTCACTGAGATCAAGTAAATAGAGTTTTTTGAGAAGGAGGGGGGTGGTCAACTGTGTCAAAGGCAGCGGAAAGGTCCAAGAGTAAAAGTATGGTATAGTGACATTTGGTTTTAGCGGTTAGTAAGTCGTTTGCAAATTTTAGGAGAGCAGTTTCTGTGGAGTGTTGTGGCCGAAATCCAGACTAAAGAGGATAGAGAAGGTTATTCTCAATATGGTGGCAGCTCAGCCAGTTGTAGGCTAGGCGTTCAAGGAGTTTGGAGGCAAAAGGGAGTAAGGAGATGGGTCTTAGGTTGCTAAGATTGGCATAGTGCACCCATGAACTCTGCACTCTATACATTGTGCACCCATGAACTCTGCACTCTGTGTGTAACTCACCCCTGAACTCTGCACTCTATACATTGTGCACCCATGAACTCTGCACTCTGTGTGTAACTCACCCCTGAACTCTGCACTCTGTACATAGTGCACCCATGAACTCTACACTCTGTGTGTAACTCACCCCTGAACTCTGCACTCTATACATTGTGCACCCATGAACTCTGCACTCTGTGTGTAACTCACCCCTGAACTCTGCACTCTGCGTGTAGTGTATGTCTGAACTCTGCACTCTGTATGTAGTGCAACCATGAACTCTGCAAGTAAACCCCCCCAGAACTCTGCACTCTGTACGTAACGTACTCCTGGTATTTAATGCCCCTTTACGACCCTTCCACTGTTAGTGAAATTTGGCGGGTGTGTGTGTGGGGTGGGGGGGGGGGGGGGGCGTTGAGATTGAGATCCTGCACCTATTTTAAAAAAGCCCTGCTGCTGACCCATAAAAAAGGAGGAAAAACACTGCACCTAGATCACAAGTACATTTTCCCTCCTATCCAAGCCTTTCGGATGAACCAAAAGCTGATGTTGAGGTGAAGTTTTCACAGAACGATCTAGACTCTATGATGACCAGGGCACCCCTCACACAACCTACAGTATTCAATTGCTAATGGCCAGGCTGTAGTGAAAGTGGGCAACCTTCCAAATTGGCACATAGCTCAGATTATTAAATTAGTTGTCCTCACAAAGGCCTATAAATGGGGAAAACAGTAAAAGTAATGTACAAAAGACCATATTACATCAGCACAAGAAAAGCCCCTTAATCAGCTATTTGCAGCACATTATGTCACACATTGTTTTTTCTTGGAAGTTCTCAAGAATCTTCAGTTATCTGCTTCTGCAATTGAATGAAGATGCTGGGAAAAGGAGGGGTGTTAGCTGTGAATTGCTTGGAGCTCCAATCTGGAAGCACATTGATGGACAGTCTATTGCGCCCAGGTTTTTACTCCCTTACCTGGCTGCTATGTCACATGGTGTGACAAAAGTGTCAATAGGAGTGGTGATAGATTTGAAACAGCACCATTGTGCGGTTTACTTCAAATGCAGCCACCTACTTCTTATAATGTTTGACATATCTAAAACTCAATGCTGGAAGGCTATAAAATCACCCTAGAAACATTTGCCAAAAGCTCTGTACCCTTCCCAAAGGCTACATATTGATTTTAGATTCAGTCAGCACTTGACACGTGTAACTACAGCACAAAAATAGAAGTTCATACTGATTCAATATGTCTAATTCAGGCTCTACATGGCAGGAAATTCCTATAAAACTACTTCAATCAGTATTAAGCCAGCAAGACTACACAGATACTGATAGGTGATGGAAGCTGCACAGACACATGGACATGACAGGGTTTTTGTTACTATTAGTAGTTCCACAGTATTTGTATGAGCCTCCATTCAGGGAAGTTCACTGTGGCAATCTCCAAAGTTTTTGCTGTACCTTTGTTTTAAAGAGTTACTAAACCCACAACAGTAAAATCAGTCTGTAAATGCTGTAAAGCAATCTTGTTATACTCACTGTGGAACCTAAGACGTTAATCCTCTGCATTGAGTAAAAATGCTGTTTTATACTGACTTCTCTGATCCTCCTCTTCCTCCAGTGTCCCCCTCTTATCTCTCTTTATAAGACATATCGTGTGGAGTCACTCTACACACGGTCAGTTTGGTGTGTATTGCTAGAGAGGTTTTTGTTTTCTTGGGAGGGTGCATGTGATCAACACAGGGCCAATCAGCACTGTCCAGACAAAGGTTGGGGTTTTTGCATCCTCCTAGAGCAGAAAGAAAACTCCCCCTACAAGCTTTAATCAGTGCTCTGCTGGACACTGATAGAAGTCACAAGACTTCTCTAACTGCTGATGAGAAAAGGTATTTTCCATTTATTTACTAAATTCCAATGATTTACTAATTATTTACTAAAATAGTTGCATTTCCATTTTCTGTGTACTGTGGGAGACCAGATATAGGGAATGCAGAGTCCTGGGTTTAGTAACACTTTAAGTTGAAAATTGTAGTGCTATTCCATCCTCCTACCCATGGAAGGCCTACCTAGGACCACAAAGCTGTTTATAAGTGTCAATACATCCAGCCTTTTGTGAGTGTAAATTTGACCTTATAAGTCTATTTAATTTGTGCTTTAGAATACACAAGGTTGTTGGATCCTTTGTTGTGTTTGTTATAACATGTTTGAAGTCCAGTCTGGTCTGGAACCATGGCTCTCTCCAAAGATATAGAGAAGGAGTGACTTTAGCCACCCAGGGACGGGGAGTTTGTTGTATACAGTATTACCAGTTGAAAATAAGGGCAAAAAAGAAAAAAAGAAGACTAATGCATTCCTTATAAGGACTAGTAGGCTGAAATTAAATTTTGTTTTCTTTTTAGATACACTTTAAAAGGTCTATTTTTTTAAACTTTTGTTGCAACAATGTCAGAAACATTCATGAAAGCCAAACTAAATTTCACCATATGTGTTCAAATAAATTAACACCTGTATTATATGCTCCATCTACATACACGATATTGCCAAACATATTGGGACATCCCTCCAAATCATTGGATTCCATACCACAGGTGTATAAAATCAAGCACCTAGGCATGCAGACTGCTTCTACAAACATTTGTGAAAGAATGGGTCAGGAGCTCAGTGAAGTCAAGCGTGGTTTTGTGATGGGTTGCCACCTGTGCCATAAGTCATCTGTGAAATTTCCTTGCTACTAAATATTCCACTGTCAATTGTTAGTACTTTTATATCAAAGTAGAAGCAACTGGGAACAACAGCAACTCAGCCACCAAAAATGACAGAATGGGGTTAGCACGTGCTGAAGCGCACAGTGCACAGAAGTCAACAACTGTCTGCAGAGTCAATAGCTAAAGACCTCCAAACTTTGTGTGGCCTTCAGACTAGCATAACAACAGTGTGTAGAGAGCTTCATGGACTGGGTTTCTATGGCAGAGCAGCTGCATTCAAGCCTTATATCACCAAGTGCAAAGAAAAGAGTCGGATGCAGTGGTGTAATGCCACCAATTGGCTCTAAAGCAGTGAAGACTTGTTCTCTGGAGTGATGAATCACTCTTCTCTGCCTGGCAATCCAATGGACCATGTCTGGGTTTGGCAGTTGCCAGGAGAATGGTACTTGCCTGACTGCATTGTACCAAGTGTAAAGTTTTGTGGAAGGAGGATTATAGTGTGGGGCTGTTTTCATGGGGTTGGGTATGACCCCTTTGTACCAGTGAAATGAACTCTTAAGGCGTCAGCATACCAAAGACATTTTGGACAATTTCATGCTCCCAACTTTGTGGGAACAGTTTGGGGATGGCTCCTTCCTGTTCCAACATGACTGCGCACCAGTGCACAAAGCAAGGTCCATAAAGACATGGATGAGCGAGTTTGGGGTGGAGGAACTTGACTGGCGTGCACAGAGTCCTGACCTCAACCCAATAGAACACCTTTGGGATGAATTAGAGCAGAGACTGCGAGCCAGGCCTTCTCGTCCAACATCACTGGCTGACTCACAAATGTGTTTCTAGAAGAATGGTCAAACATTCCCACAGACACACTCCTAAACCTTGTGGACATCCTTCCCAGAAGAGTTGAAGCTGTTATAGCTGCAAAGGGTAGACCGACTCAATATTGACCCTACGGACTAAGACTGGGATGCCATTAAAGTCTATGTGTGTGTCCCAATACTTTTGGCAATATAGTGTATTTTCTCAATGAGGTAATTCATAAAAAAATGGTTGGGTTTACTTTCCTATAGTTGAAGGACACAATACTACTTGTAGCCCTATTCAAATAGCTTTATTCTTCATTCTTACCATATTTTATTGTAATATCTTGAAGTTACAATGTCTCCTCTGATCATCTGTGTAGCAAAACAAAGGAATCCCTCGACCACTGAAAGTCAAATTTTTTGTGTTTTAGCAAAATATTAAACTAGTTTGGTGATTAGCCTGGCTCAATTTAAATTTCTTGCTAAGAGATTTATACAGTAATTAAAAATTCTGGACAAAGTTTTAGTCTAAGCCTATTTGCCAAAGTCTTAGCATGATTTTCAAATCTTTTTAGAAAGAACTGTTTTGGCTGATGTTCTTGAACTGGCCATATGGAATATTGCATTCCCAGGATTTTAGGTGTTTACTATCAGCTAAAATGAATATAGCTGGCATCAAATGATTTAATAAAGAATTTTGACTGAATTATATTGTTTTATTAAAGGAAACCTCAAAAAATATGAATTTTATTTTCTTTTGCTAGAAACTATAAACCATGAGTATAAAATAATCTAAAAAATGTTTGATCCCATATTATTATTAAATAGTTGACATATTTGCAAAAAAGAATCAGTGTTTTTTTTATATGTTTATTTAAAGTGGTTATGAAGGCTGAAGGTTTTTTACCTTCATGCATTCTAAGGTAAAAAAAACCTTCAATGTGCAGCTCCCCTCTTAGCCTCCCAATACTTACCTGAGCCTAATCGTGATCCAGAACTGTGCATGAGAGCTTCGGCTCTCCCAGGTCCCACTCTCCTCATTGGCAGAGACACAGCAGCGGGAGCCATTGGCTCCTGCTGCTTTCAATCACAGCCAGTAAGGAAGTATCAGGGGCGGGGCCAAGCCACACTCTGTATATCTTATGGATATACAGGGCCCGCTCAGGAAAAAAAAGAATGCATGAGTGCGACCATAGCAAGTGGCTTGCTTTGGGGCACTCAGCAGGGGAGAGGGGCCAGGAGCACTGGCAGGGGACCCAAGAAAAGAAGGATCGGGGTGCTCTGTGCAAAACCATCACACAGAGCAGGTAAGCATGACATGTCTGTTCTTTTAATTAACAATTAATTAAAACAAAAACAAAACTTTACAACCACATTAAGTCAGATAGGACATTGTCCATACATAGACAAAAGTACAGACATTGAGAACTTCAATTGGTGAAAAAATAAAGACAAAGAAATAAAAATATTTGTGTATATTAAAAAATGGCAATTTAGTTAAGTGCTTTCCCACTGCCCTATAGCAGAAATACTGCTACAGTGGTGCCCAAAATCACGTATATATATAATTCCCCTCTGGCACCCAGCTATCACAATGTATCACAGATGGGGAGAGACCTGTATATAAACAATGCAGATCTTTCCCCTGTTAGCTCCTGCACACTGCTTTATATGGCTCTGCATAGCAGAGCCATACAAAGCAGTGTGCTTGCAGTGTAAAGCACACACAGCACACAGTTAACCCCTTCCTGCCCAGTGTCATTAGTACAGTGTCAGTATTTTTTTTATTAGCACTGATCAGTGGTGTATTTTGGTTTTGTGCTGCCCTAGGCAAGACTAAAATCGCACGCCCCCATCTAAATTTGTCACACCCCTTCCTGTTTAGGACCCACCCATTCATCTGTAAACTCTGCCCATTCCACATTAGGCTCCACCTTTTCCTATTAGAGCTCCACCCCAGGAGACGGCCAGAGACTGTGGACAGGATAAAGGAGAGGGTCCCCACAACCCCTCCCCTTGCATCAGTGTCCCCAAATTCCCCCTCAAATCAGTGTTCCCAGAGTCCCCCCCTCAACATTAGGGTTGAAAAAACCCCTCCCAATAAATCAGGATCCCCTTTAAATCATGGCCTCCAGAGTCCCCCCACCTTATGTGCATCATGGTCCCCGTAGCCCCTCCCCTTAAATCAGGGTCCCCCAGATCCCCCTCCTTAAATTAGGTTTCCCAAAGTCCTTCCTCCTTACATCAGGATCCCAAAAGCCCCCCAACTTACATCAGGGTCCCCATAGGCCCTTTCTTTACTTCATGGTCCCCCAGATCCCCCCTCCTTAAATCTGGGTCCCCATAGTCCCTACCACTTACATCAGGGTCCTAAGAGCCCCCCCCAATACATCAGGGTCCACCTTTATATCATGGTCTCCAGAGTCCCCCCCCACCCAGAGACCCTCCCCATACATCAGAGTCCCCCAGAGACCCAGATCCCTCTACTTAAATAAGGGTCCCCAGAGTTCCCCCTTCCCTTACATCAGGGTCCCAAAAGTCCCCCCAATACATCAGGGTCCCTCTATAAAGCATGGTCTTAAGAGTCCCCCACCTTACATCAGGGTCCCTAGAGTCCATTCTTTTTAACTTGGTCCCCAAAGTTCCCCCTGCCCTTACATCAGGATCCCCCAACCCCCCTTACCTCAGGGTCCATTCCATTCATTCCTCTAGGCAGCTACACGAGCTGTAAGAGGTCCTGTCCTTGCCGCCCTCCTCCTCCTCTGAATGTCATGGGCTGGGAGTGGGGCAAGCACCTGATTAGATGTTAGGACCGCCGATATCCTATCAACCAATCAAATGCTTTCCCCGCTCCTACTAGCGCTGACAGTGACAACACAGGGCAGTGGTGTGGCGGGCCGCCCCCCCGGAACACAGCCAAGCCACCTCCTTCCCAAGCACACACGAGCCCACCCGCACACACCCGAGTTGCCCCCGCCTGAGCACACACAAGCCCGCCCCTTTCTCCCGAACACAGCCGAGCCTGCCCCCCGCCCGAGCACACATGAGCCTGCCCCCCCCCCCTCCTGAACACAGCTGAGCCCGCCCAAGCACACACGAGCCCGCTCCCCCACCTGAACACAGCCGAGCCCGTCCCTCTGCTCGAGCACAGCCGAGCCTTCTCCCCCCTGCCAAAACACAGCCGAGCCCGTCCATCTGCCTGAGCACACACAAGCCCACCCGAGCACAGCCCTTTGTAGATGGCACTGGTCCCTTCTGCCAGGGGGCGATGCCGCCCTCCTGAAAAATGCCGCCCAAGGCAGGTGCCTTGTTTGCCTCACGACAGATATGCCCCTGGCACTGATCACTGTATTAGTGTCACTGGGGATGTCAGTGACAGTTAGTCAGTTCCCCCACAGTGTCAGAATGCCCGCCGCAGTCCCGCTATAAGTCGCTGATCACTGCCACTACTAGTATTAAAAAAAAAAAATTCCAGTATATATAACGCCATTTGTAGATGCTATAACTTTCACGTAAACCAATTATTTACATTTGGAATTTTTTTTAGCAAAGATATGTAGCAGAATAAATTTTGGCCTAGATTTATGGCGAAATCTGTTTTTTACATTTTTTTACTGGACATGTTTAATAGCACAAAGTAAAAAATATAGTTTTTTTCTCAAAATTGGCAGTCTTTTTTTAGAATAAAAAAATAAAAAACCAGATAACCAGCTTGGCCATTAACATTTCATGGAGTAAAGAAAAAGGTTTTTACTAAATTGTTGATTGCACCACTATCTGCCAGTGCTAATGTAGGTATTTTTGACTTAAGTCTTGGCAAAATAAACTAGAACCAAAAATATCAAGACCATTTAGGAGAAGATTCTAAACCCAAATATTTTTTGCATTTAACACCCAAGGACCCCCACAGTAGAGGACCAGGCATGGAAATCGCCTCTTTTTTATTCTCAAAACTGGGAAAATGCTCTTCCAATTCAAATTAATATACTATATGTTGTAATAGATCATTTCAAATTCAGGTTTCTTTCTTACCTGGCTTCCCTGAGTTTTTCAAAAAGACCATCCTGCAAAAGCCAGCAAGCATATGACTGCTTTTTAAGCTGTTGATTTCAAAGCTTCTACATCAGCAGGTACTGAGGAGGTACATGTCACTGAGAAAGAAATTGTTCTGGTAGCAATCAGTCTAAAGTATTTCTTTGTCAATTTCTTGTAGTGGAAGTCTGGATAGATACTTGTGTTCAGAGGTGTTACTACATGAAGTTTTTTGTGAGTGTGCTCCAACAGGTGCAGGCTAGAGA